TTTAGGGTTTAGGGTTCTGGGTTTTTAGGTTCCCCCTTTCTTGCCCTTTCTTTGGGTTTAATAAAGGGGCCTAAAGTATTACCAACACTTTTCTGGGTGGTCCTTATTATAATTTTAGTATCAATTACCCAAAGACCCTGTTCTAATTATTTAAGGCCCCTGTATTAGGGTAGGGTTTGGGCCGGGGGCTTCTGGTCCTCCTGTAATAACCTGTTTGTGCCTTTTTTTTGAAGTCTCCTCTGCGGTTTAGGGTGTAGGCTTTAGGGCCTAGGGCACTGGATGACCTAGGATATCCATGATTGCGCACTTTGCGCAGCCACCAAACTTCACCGTCTTAGAGTCCCGCATCATGCAGATGACTTTTGTCGTGAAAGTGCTGACGCTGGGGGTTGTGGTCACGCTCGTAAATGCAGACTTTCAGTTCTACATTGGCAGCTTGAAGGGCTTTCTGGGTCTACTGGGGGCTGGGCAGTTCAAAGACATCGACAAGGCATGGAATGCCGCAGTGGGTGTCGAGATCCTGACACTTATCGTTTTCAGCATCATGAACGAGATCATTGCCATTGCCTTCGTCCTGCTCTTCAAAATAAAGTGCTATTGCCTTGCCGGGAGGAAGGTTGACTGGCGATCCATGAAGGAGTTGTTTACGCCTCCCCAGTTCGAGCTTGCCGCCCACTTGAAGTCACCAAGTTTCTTTTGCTTTGGATGTCGTGAAGTATGCTGAGAATGTACAGGTTTAGTCCGTTTTTTTGACGAGGGTTTTGGGATCTTGCTAAATTCCACAAAGGCAAACTACCACGCCGACCAGTTGAGCCTTGTCTTCGCATGCCTGCTGTTCTCCAGTTGCCTACCGGCCGTGTTGATCGTCCTCGCTGTGCGCTTGTTCTCCATGTGCCTCAGATGCCTCCTATGTAGTGTGATAGAGTATGTTTTTTTTCATTATGTTGTAGCACATTATAGTATATCATAATACATTACAGTGCATTATCATATACTGTTGTCTTCTATGGTACGTTATAGTATGCTATCGTAGATTCTGGTATATTATCATACCTAGCTCCCTGAAGCCTACATCCCTCAACCCTGAACCCCTAGGCCTATCGCAGGGTTTAGGATCCGGGGTTTAGGATTCAGGATGGAGGACTTAGGCTTTGAGGTTTGAGGAGGACTTGGCCTTTGGCTTTCGGGTCCCTGCTTAGAAGACATCCGAACCCAGACCCCCAAAAAGGATCTAAAAAATAGATCCCCTGAGGGGGTTCCTATAAAGTACCCTTTAGTAGTTAGGGTCCCCAATTAGGGGATCTATTTTTTAGATCCTTTTGGGGGTCTGGGAACGGGCTTGAAACCCTGAAGTCCAGTTGAAGATCATCTCTCCTCCTGTATGGTTGGGCAGGAAAGGGGCTTCGAACTTCGGTCGAAACCCGAAACCCTAAACCCTAAACCCGAAACCCTAAACCCGAAACCCTAAACCCTAAACCCTAAACCCTAAACCCTAAACCCTAAACCCTAAACCCTAAACCCTAACATGGAGTGCTGTAGGATGGTAGGATGTCTTAGGCCTTTTTTTTTGTGGCCAGCTCTGGGCCCTTCCTGGCCTGGCGGCCTTGCACCATACCGCTTGTGGAACCAACGCCCCCCATCCCCTTTTAGGGTTTAGGGTTTAGGGTTTGGGGTTTAGGGTTTAGGGTTTAGGGTTTAGGGTTTTAAACCCTATAAGAACAGGTTTAGGGGATTTTTGGGTTTAGGGTGTAGGGTTATGCTAACCGTACTAGCCCTTATGCAGGGTTCTTCAAAGAAGGTTCCCGGGCCAAAGCTCCAAATGAATCCCTTCTTGGCTTTGGCTTTGGGGTTTGGGGGTTAGGGTTCTATGAGGAAGCCACGGGGTTTCAGGGTCAAGATCTCTAATGAACCCTAAACCCCTAAACCCTAAACCGGAAAGCCTAAACCCTAAACACCTAAACCCTAAACCCTAACTCCACACACTCACAGTCCAAAATCCAAACCCTGAACCTTAAAGCACTAAAGCCTACATCCCTGACTCTCTTTTTGGAGCCGCCCGTCTTATTTCCGTTGGATCCAGTACGTCGGCAGGAGAAAGACTTGCAAAACCAGCAAAGGATCCCTTCTGTAGAGGATTTCTTTTGAAGGTCCTCAATCTAAAGGATCCCTAAATCCTAAACATTGTGTTCAGATCCTTCTCCGTTTGAAGGCCAAGCCCCAAACCCTGGCTTAGGGTTTAGGGTGTAGGGTAAGGTACAGGATCCACAACCCTAAACCCTAAACCCTAAACCCAAAGGTACTGGACCCACGACCCTAAACCCTAAACCCAAAGGTACTGGATCCACAAGTTCGAGTTCCTGAGGGGCTGTTCGGTGCCTCCTCGGCACAAGCAGGAGCCCGCCAGATAGGCCTTTGAGGTTCAGGGTTCTATGGTTTTGGGTTTAGGGTATGCTGGTTGATGGGTAAGGGTTAGGGTTAAGGGGTTTCGGGTTTAGGGGCTCTGGGAGTTTAGGTTTTAGGCTTCGGGGTTAGGTTTAGAGTTCAGGCTTCAGGGTTTAGGGTTTAGGGTTTAGGGCAGCGGAATTTTGCAACCCGCACTTCTGATTGATTATTGGGGCTCTTGATATAGTATGGATCCGACTATTGTGCTCGTTAAACCTTAAACCTGAACAGAACCCTAAACCCTAAACCCTAAACCCTAAACCCTAAGCCCTAAACCCTAAACCCTAAACCCTGAACCCTAAACCCAAACAGCCGCCATCTAAACGGCTACAAAGCCTCAGCCTAAACCCCAAGCCCCAAGCCCAAAACCTTCATCCCTTAAATCCTAAACCCTAGACCCTAAACCCCAAGCTCCCACATACTGCAACCCTCAACCCGGGAGCCCAAAACACCCAAAAAACTCTTAAGCCCAAACCCCTAAACCCCTTACCCCAAACCCCAAAGCTTTCAAGTTCATATCCGCAAACTCCCTAAATCCTAGAACCCGAGCCCTCAACGGATTCTTCGCAGTCTATGGGTTTTTATTGTCCCAAACCCTAAACCCTGAACCCTAAGGCCTAAGCCCCAAACCCTAAACCCGAAAAGCACTCATATAGTATATACATTGGTCTTAATGTAGTTCCTATTTGGGGGTTTCCGAAAATAGGGGATCCTAATATAGTACCCTAAATAGCAGGATCCTTATTATAAGGACCCCCAAATAAGGCACCCCTAAACCCGAAAAGCCCTTTTAATCCCATATTAGGGTTTATAATAAGAACCTACAAAAAAGTGGGTTTTGGGTTCTTAAGGTAAGCCCCAAACCCTAAACCCGAAAAGCCCGAAGGAGCTTGCTCTTGGCATGGCTCGCTGGGTCCAGATGGCCGTCTTCTGCCACTGCGCAGTGGCTGTCTGGGTTTCTTGGCAATCTCTCAGCTGGCTTGAGGGTGGTTGGGTTTTTGGGTTTCAGGGTTTAGGGTTTTAGGGTTTTAGGGTTTAGGGTTTGGGGTTTTGGGGGTTTAGGGGTTTCAGGGTTTAGGGTTTTAGGGTCTAGTGTTTAGGGCTTACGGGCCTTTAGGGTTTAATTAGGGTTTCGGAATCTCTCTGTAAGTTTCGCTGTAGGTACCCTCCTTAGGACTATCCTAACTACATGCCTACTTGCAATGATAGGAATCATGTGTGTCATCTTCCTTGCACTGCAAACTCGAGGGGACGATGCGAACGCACTTGTTTGGTGAGTCGATTGGGGCATGGTTAGAAGTCCGTGCAGGAATCAGTACATGCTTGATCTTCGGTTTCGGGGTTGGACAGTTTAAGGTCCGTTCTTTTGCTGTATTGTTTCGGGCTTACAAAGGGGTTCAGACTTGAGAGGTTTTGCAGGAGCCTTTACATGTCAGCACAGAGCTCGGTTTCTTGGAAGTCCAAGATGTAACCATTAGGGTATAGCATGCACGGCTGTTAGGTTTTGTGCCAGGAGCGTTTCAACCCCAAGCCGTACGTTCCGCAGACCCCTCCCCTGCCAAGAGCGAGAGCCTGAATTCTAAACCCGCAATGCAGGTTTACGGCTCAGAGGTGCTGCTGGTGCAGGACGAGCACCTTGACACGGACCCAATATAGGGGCCTTTATAAGTAGAGTGGGGTTTTGGGATATATTACAGCATATTTATATTAAGGAACGCCCAAGAAAAGGTATTGGTAATTATTTAGGCCCCGATACTACCTAGCCGAGTGTTCTTGAAGTTCAGACTTCTAGAGGTTTCAGGGCTCTGCCGCTGGGGTTGTCAGGCTTCAAGAGGGTGTTGGGTTTAGGGTTTTAGGTTTTAGGGTTTAGGGTTGAGGGTGTTGGGTTGCAGTGGAAGCCCGTGAAGGTTTTACTTGGATCATAGAAGAGGTGTCCCTTTACGCGGTTTAGCCTCCCCTGCCTTATAGTCGCTTCTAGAACCGTTACGGTACCCTGAAAGTACCCTTACAATGACCCTTCTACCCTAGACCCTAAACCCCACAGTTTTGAGCTTTGAACCTCAAACCCTAAGCCCTAAACCCTGAACCCTAAACCTTAAACCCCTTAAGCCCAAAAATCATAAACCCTAAACCCTAAACCCTAAATCCTAAAGAGTTCCGAAAGGTCGAAGTTCGAAGCCGGCGCCGCGACAGACTACGCAACGCAGCTCGGAAGCCTCCTCGGGGCCGAGGCGGCCGCGGTGGTGGAGCCTTGGAAGAGGATTTTCGGGTTTAGGGTTTAGGGTTTAGGATTTAGGGCTTTAGGGGTTTAGGGGTTCAGGGTTTAGGGTGTAGGGTTTGGGGTTTAGGGGTTTAAGGGGTTTAGGGTTTAGGGTTTAGGGTGTAGGGTGGAGGGGTTTAGGGTGTAGGGGTTTAGTGGTTCAGGGGCTTAGGGTTTAAGGTGTAGGGTGTAGGGGTTTAGGGGTTTA